GTCATTCAAAAATAAGGGTGAACCTTTTAGATATGCATTTATTTATTTATTTTAATTTTTTTTGAGATAGTGTCTTGTTCTGTCACTCAGGCTGCAGTACAGTGGCAGATCATAGCTCACTGCAACCTCGAACTCCTGGGCTCAAGCTATTCTCTGCCTCAGCCTCCAAAGTAGCTGGGACTACAGAGGTGTGCTACCAAACCTGGATTGTTTAAAAAATTTTTGTAGTGATAGGGTGTCACTATGTTGTCCAGGCTGGTCTTGAATTCCTGGCCTTAAGCAATCCTCTGTCTTGGTCTCCCAAAGTGCTGGGATTCCAGGCATGAGCCATCACACCTGGCCTGATGTGCATTTATAGATACACACAGAGTATTATGTAGGACTGCCACAACGAAGTACCATAAACTGGCTTAAAACTACAATTTATTGTCTCAGTTCTGGAGGCTAGAAGTCCAAAATCAAGGTGTTGGCAAAGCCATGTTTTATCTAAAACCTGTAGAAGAATCCTTCTTTGCCTTTTCTAGTTTCTGATAGCCCCAGATGTGACATGGCTTTCTCCTTATGTCTCTTCTTGTAGTCCTCCCTGTGTGTGTCTGTATGTGTCCAAAGTTCGCCTTTTCATAAAGACATCAATCATACTGCATTAGGGCCCACTCTAATAACCTTTAACTTAACTCTGTAAAAACTCAATTTTCTTTCTTTCTTTCTTTCTTTCTTTTTATGATCTGAGACAAGGTTTTGCTCTGTCACCCAGGCTGGAGCGCAGTGGCAGATCATAGCTCACTGCAGCCTTAACTTCCTAGGCTCATGAGACGCATCTAATGCAGCTTCCCAAATAACTGGGACTGTAAATAACTACCACCACACTAGGCTAATTTTTAAATTTTTTTGTAGAGATGAGGTCTCGTCCTATATTGTCCATGCTGGTCTCAAACTCACTGGCTCAAATGATCCTCCCACCTCAGCCTCCCAAAATGCTAGAATTATAGGTGTGAGCCACCACACCTGGCCCAAAACCCTATTTTCATATAGGGTCACATTCCGAGGTACTGGGAGTTAGGACTTCAATGTATCTTTTGTGGGGGGCACAATTCAACCTATAACACAAAGATGAAGAGAATTTACTTATCAGAGACTCTTACTAAAAGAACCTACTGAAGGATTTTCTTCGTCAAGAAGGAAATTAGGTCAGGTGCAGTGGCTCACACCTGTAATCCCGGCACTTTGGGAGGCTGAGGCGGGTGGATCACCTGAGGTCAAGAGTTCCAGACCAGCCTGGCCAATGTGGCAAAACCCCATCTTTACTATAAAACACAAAAATTAGCTGGGTGTGGTGATGCAGATCTGTAATCTCAGCTACTTGGGAGGCTGAAGCAGGAGAATTGCTGAAACCCAGGAGGCAGAGGCTGCAGTGAGCTGAGATCACACCACTGCACTCCGGGGCAACAGAGTGAGACTCCCACTCAAATAAAAAAAAAGAAGGAAATTAAACTCATGAGGAAGGAGTAGTATACAAAGAGAAACAATGACCAAACAATGCAGAGAAGACTCTTGCCTAAGATCACACTACCCTTAAATAGTGTAGTCAGTATTTGTACCCAGGTCGTCTGACAGTTTAGGCCATGTTCTTAACTTTTATAGGCCGTACATCTCTATGAGGACTGTTTCAAAAATCTCATGAGGTAACATAGAGGATAGTATTTCAGACTTTCTTTGAATTTCAATATTCAGTCACTATGTTTTTTTTTTTTTTTTTTTTGAGACAAGTCCTCACACTCTTTCAGGCTGGAATGCAATGGTGCAATTGATCTCCACTCACTGCAGCCTTGGCCTCCAGGACTCATGCAATCCTCCTGCCTCAGTCTCCTGAGTAGCTGGGACTACAAGGGCATGCCACCATGCCTGGCTAATTGGTATTTATTGATCATGTATAACGAGAATCTAAGAAGATTTCAGAGAATCAAAAGATCAATTCCTTTTTTCTCTTTCTCAAATTACGGAGGAATGAGTTTTTTGTTTTTTGCTTTTTTCCTGAATAATTTATTCACATCGGTATTCATTTTGTGTTTTTTTTCCCCCGTGAGGCACTGTGATAGGTGTTCTAGGTACAAGTGGTGGGAGAACCATTACTTCATAGTTCTTGATTTCAAGGAGCTTACAGTCTAATGAAAATGTTTTCTAAAAAAAGGTAGAAAGTGTTATGTGCCTTGAGAGAGAAACAGATATTGTGAGGGGAGTTCAGAGGAAAGATTATCTTTGCTCTGTGTGATGGAGGATGTGGTGCCCATTTGCTGGACTTTGAAAGACAAACAGGACAACAATTAACTACATCAATGATTTATTGAGTATCTACTGTGTGCCCGGAGCTGTGTTTGGAGCTTTTTATCCTGATCTCATTTATTCCTCACAATAACCCTGTTAGGTCAATATTGTCATTCTCAAATTAAACATGAGAAGATTGGAGGTCATCAAAAATGAGTGGTGGATGCTGGGCCTGGTGGCTCCCACCTGTAATCCCAGCACTTTGGGAGGCCGAGGCAGGTGGATCACTTGAGGCCGGGAGTTGGAGATCACCTGGGCTATATGGTGAAACCCCATCTCTACTAAAACTACAAAAATTAGCTGGATGTAGTGGCAGGTGCCTATAAATCCCAGCTACTTGGGAGGCTGAGGCAGGAGAATCACTTGAACCGGGGAGGCCGAGATTGCAGTCAGCAGAGATCGTGCCACTGCACTCCATCCTGGGCGACAGAGGGAGGCTCTA